CTATATAAATCCTGTATAATAATAATAATAATAATAATAATAGAATTGTCATTCATTTGCTATGAGTTACTTTATTCCAGGGCTGCAAACAGGTCTCTATCTGTGTATCAACATACAGTATTCATCACAATATGGCAGTTCTTTTTATGTAACATTAAGGCAGCAGGGTATAAACCTGAATTCCCCTTTAACTTTAATTGTTCTGGTTTGGTTGCTGAGCATTCACTTGTACAGTTTTGGGAAATACTTGTAGCCAAGCCAGATATCAAACACATATTATAATCTTATATCCGTTTTAGCGTACTCGGCATTTGAACCATCTGTGTTGCTAATTAAATGGCTTGTTTCCACTTTTAATTACTAGAAAGGATTACAATGGACGTTTTTTTAAGTTGGCAAGACGGTGGGTACACAATGTGTGTGTCCAGGGACAAGCCATCCTGTTCTGTGTAGTTTAGTATTGTGTCACATTGATAAAGCTACAGAGGAATTAAGAAATGGGGGACAGAAGAAAGAAGGCACAGGGGATAGAGGAAAGAAGAGAGAAGAAGAGATTGGGAAGGGTGAGAGAGACATGCAGGAGAGACTAGTGGGCAGAAAAAAATATGACACAAGAGGGCCTGTAATAAATTATACTGCTCTTGTTTACATGAACATCCAGAAAAGGGTTAAATACATTCCAGAATATCTTGCACATTTTCACACAGTCGGTTTCTTTTTTAAGCTTCAGTCTGGTCCTGAAAGGCTAGGGGTCACTTTATCTCCTGGGAATCATGCTAGCTGAATAGACTGTCTGACTTATCTCTGGGTGTAATGGAAAACACAGCAAGCTTTGAGTACCAGTAGGCTAGCTCTGGACTTGCCAACAGTAGACTAATTCTGGACTTGCCACCTAGCCCTGGACATGCAACCAGTAGAATGGTCCCGAACATGCCCCCAGTAGATTGGTCCAGGACGAGCCACCAGTAGACCAGTCTTGGATGAGTCACCAGTAGACCGGTCTTGAACGCGCCACCAGTAGACTGACCCTGGATGCGCTACCAGTAGGCTGGCCTTGGACGCGCCACCAGTAGGCTGGCCCTAGACGCACCATCAATAGACTGGCCCTGGTTGCGCCACCTGTAGAGTTGTACACGTCCATACCCTCAGTAGATTGGACCTGGATGTGCCCACAGTAGACTGGACTACACAGGCCAGCCTTCACTCCCCACATTCATCACCACTTGAGTCTTGGCTGCCCATGACCCTTTCACTGGTTCTACGCTTTTCCTTCCATGGACCGCTTTTGGTAGTTCCTGACCACTGCAGACCATGAACATCCCACAAGAGCTGCAGATTTGGAGATGCCTCTGAACCAGTCATCCATCCATTACAATTTGGCCCTTGTCAAAGCCGCTCAAGTTCTTATGCCTGTCCATTTTTTCTGCTTTTAAAACATAAACTTCAGGGACAACATGTTCACTTACTGCGGTAATATATCCCACTGATTTTCAGATGTAATTGTAAAGAAAGAGTCAATGTTATTCACTTTACCTGTCAGTTGCCATAGTGTTTTGGCTGATGGGTGTATATATGTGTGTGTACGGATCTTACAAACTGGACAGCATTCCCTGCTTTCTTCATTTAAAAAGTACAGTATTAAACATACAGTAGTGCCATCTTTGGTTCATTGCTTAGTGTTCCCTCCAGGGTGAGAAACTGATATGAATGTGAGAGAGATTAAAGGCAGCCATGGTAAAAATCTGCTAAGGGGGGGCCTGAGACTGCTATTTTTATGGCCATACCAGTTCTTGGTCCAGCCAGAGCACTAGAACCATATCTCCGTGCTTTCTGCCAAGAGAAAGGGGGACACCTTCTAGTGCCTAGTATATAGACAAAGAACACAACCCGCCCACACCCAAATTACGCGTACCGTGTAGAATTAATATACAAAAAATGATTGGTTATAATAGAAATATAGAGTAGGTAAAAATAGTATTGAACACATCACCATTTTTCTAGATAAATATATTTCTAAAGGTGCTATTGACATTTCACCACATGTCAGTAACAACCCATGCAATCCATACATACAAAGAAACCAAAACAAATTCAGAAAATAAGTTATGTGTAATTAAATGGAATGACACAGGGAAAAAGTATGGAACACATGAAGAAAGAGAAGTGCAAAAAGGCATGGAAAGCTGAAACACCAGCGGAAATCTATCAGTAATTAGAAAGCAATCTTGTCCCTTGTCAGTGTAAATTAATATCAGCTGGTTCAATCTCAACTGATGGCCTATACAAAGGTTTTTCATTGCCAAGGTGTCACACAAAAAACAAATCTCATGATGGGTAAAAGCAAAGAGCTCTCTCAAGACCTCTGCAACTTTATTATTGCAATATATACTTATGTCATTAGTTACAGAAGGATTTCTAAACTTCTGAATGTTCCAGTGAGCACTGTTGCGGCCATAATTCGGAAGTGGAAAGAACATAACTTCACCATAAACCCGGCCATGACCAGGTGTTCCTCGCAAGACAGAGGAGTGAAAAAGATTGTCAGAAGAGTTGTCCAAGCACCAAGGACCACTTGTGAAGAGCTTCAGAAAGACCTGACTTGAATCCAAATGAAAAGAACTAAAGAGCTGAGTTCATAGAAGAGGCCCACGGAACTTTCAAGATTTGAAGACTGTGTGGACGAAGATAGTTTCTCCATACAGGAGGTGTCATTAAGCTGTCAACAAAGGATTTTGTACAAAGTATTAAATACATTTCAGTTAGTGTGTTCAATACTTTTTCCCTATTTAATTCCGATTTATTATACATAACTTAATTTATGAACTTATTTGTTTTGGTTTCTTTGTATGTATGGATTGCATGGGTTGTTGCTAACATGTGGTGAAAATTTCATTTCATTAGCACCTTTAGAGATATATTTACCTAGAAAAATGGTGACGTGTGAAATACGTATTTTAACCCGCTGTGTGTGTGTGTGTGTGTGTGTGTGTGTGTGTGTATATATAATAGTATATATATATATATATATATATATATATATATAGTAAATGTAATAAAAAAAAAAGAGGGCAGAGGGACAACAGACAAGTATTCTTAACAGTGGTAATGTGTTTGACGATAACTTGTTGTTCTGAGAAATACATGCAGTGGTTTAAATAGTTTGAATCACTATTGCTTAAAAATCTGATGTTGCTTGAGAATAATAATTCTGAGTCTGTATATCTGAAAGTACCAAGGTGACTGGATAAGTAAGGGCCTTTATTGACAGGCTTCTCTCCCCACACAGATCTGTGGGAAAACAAAAGCAGGTGAAATGCAGGTTGGAAACAGGTCAAATACACCTGTCGATGAATTATTATTATACAGTATTTATAAAGTGCCAACAGTTCGCTCAGCGCTGTACATTACAATGGGGGACAGAACATGCGACAGAACAATAACAATACAATGCAAAACATGAGGGAATCGAGGACCCTGCTCTTTCGAGCTCTGAACAATCTCAGTAAGCTCCTCGACACAGCCCAAAGCCAATTGATACTGACCCTAAAGCTGGTCATACACTAATAAAATTTCATTTTAAATAGTTTGTTTTAAGAACTTTCATTTTATTTTCTAAATGTTGGTGGGGTCAATCAACATTCGTCTTTGACTGCAGTGACAAAACTTGCAGGATGGAAAGTTTTTCTTGCACGAATGAAATTATAACTGTGTATGTGGTTTTTGTTCAGTAAAGTCCATTCATTACAAAATTGAATGTTATAAGTAAATGAAATTTTGAAGTACCTGCAAACAATTTCCAAGTCACTGAGACCTTATGTACAAATGTAAATTTGAAAATCTGCTAGTGTATAGTTATTGTAAGATAACCAGACAGGTATCAGGAGAAGTCGGTCAACAATGGTGGACCATACATTTTTCTCAGCACTGGTCTTCTTTAGAGGAAACCTTTGTGGATAGAAATGTGTGAACTGTGATTGGTGACTTCTTTGATGAATATGCAGGGTAGGAGCTCACACTTTTCTGATTGTGCCAGGGAAAATGCTTACCAGGTAGTCGAGCTAAGTTCATGATGACAACGCCAAAGCTTGCATCACTAAAACCAAATTGGTTCCCATATTTTATCATGTGTCCTCCGCTCAATGCAGAGGTGGATTGGGAGCCCCAACAACACACAAGCTACAATCTAAGTGCAGAATGCGTGTGAAAGACTGCCGTATTTCTAAATGGGATAACGTCTATGTGTTATGTGACTGTATGAGATACAAGTATATCTAAAGCCAAATTTTGGAGGTAGTAGGAGATGGTTTAAACCGGTCAGGTCTTTTATTTACCACCTGTGTTCCATTGGTGAGATTTCCCTTTACTTTCTGTTCTGTAGATAAAACAGGACATGAGAGGAAGTCTGTACAAAGTGGGGGAAATTGCTTCTTAGGCAGTTGTCATGTCATAGTGACATAAATGGCAATACAAATTTTCACTACCCAGTCCAAAATATATATTGGCTTTAGATACGCTTTAAAGTGGTAGTAAACCCACTTTGTTCATTTTTACTTACAGGTAAGCTTATAATAAAGCTTACCTGTAGGTAAAATTAATATCTCCTAAGCGTGCGCCATTTAGGAGATAGTCAGGTTTTTTTAGCTGGTGCATGCTCTCTGAAAGAACAGCATACCCATGCCGTTATTTCAGAGGACTATGCCATTGCATGATGTCATCGCGGCTCAGCCAGTCAGATAGCTGGAGCTTGGAAACCCGAAAGGAAGACCGTGTGAAGATGGAAGCCTTTACAGCGGAGACAGCATGCTGCTGGAGGGCTTCGTTTTAAGGTAAGCTATGCATAATGTGCTAGTATGCCATTCATACTAGCACATTATGCCATTGCCTTGCAGGGAATGTTTTTTTTGTATGTGGTCTACTACCGCTTTAAGTGCCGTCTTTTACTTTAATTATCAATAGGATAGCTTACATTGTGTTTTCTTCTTTCTTTTTTTTACATGCAGGTGGTTTGCCTTGATGGAAATTCACTTGTTGGTGGTTTTATTCCTCTACAAATATGAGTTCCAGTTACTGGATCCGCTTCCCAAACAGGTACATGTTTCTATTGTTTATGCAGCTTATAATTCCAGATATGGATATTTTATACATAGTTACATTGGTCCAGCTTGGACCAATGTAATTCTGTATATACCGTACCTGGGTGAAACCCCTGGGGACCTGAAATCTGTGAAGTAGACACCACTTCTCCAGTGATCTCCACTTGCTTCTGGATCCTGCGCTGAGCAGGCAGCCTGCTACATTCTGAACACAGGATGTTGGCTGCTCGGCACGGGCACCATTCATAGCATGCTTTGTATTTTCTAAATGAATGCAGTGTTCTCTGATTTGATGAGGTGGAGAGCACAATCAGCAGTCCTGTATTGTAAGTGAAGACACCAAAGCCAGAGCGCTGGAGGGAAGAGATGAGTGCTGGCTGCCTGTAAGTCAGTACATTTGCATTGCAGCTACCCTAGGCTAAAATAAAAAAGCACATTTAACTCTCAGCGTTAAGAGTAGTTTTTCATTTTTCTCCGGAGTTTAGCTTTAAATCACCTGCCCCCCCATCCCCATCCACTGTGTATGGCAGATTGTTGCCACATAGTTTATTTATGGTCTCAGGTACAAAGTGATATGTGGATCGCTGGGCATCTCGTTAACTTAATCAGCCCAGAGCTGCAGTGGAAAGTCCAGGTCACCCCTGAGCTCGGCCGTGTGATGTGATGCCGACCATGGCCTGGCATACCTGTCATTGTTGTGTCATGATTCAGAGTTTGAAAGGGGATAGTGAGTGTTGAGAGCTGGGCGTGTGCTGGATTCATTCCACCGCCATGAAAGAATGATGACCTTCACTGGTATTGCTAGTGTTTTCCTATCATGTAACATTGTGTGTGGGAGAAAAATACCAACTGCACACAATACCTGACTGGCTGGAGCAGTCTACCTAACAGAAGACCAGAGGTGGGTATCCTAGAGCCTCCCAGGGTTGGACAACGCTTCCTAAGCTAGGACTGTATTTACTTTTGAATTTGATCTTTAACTCAAAAAAAAATGAAGATTTGCTTTGTTATAGGAAATATTTATAAATGTAAAGTTTTACCTTTTGTCTAGAATACTTTAAAAATAGCAGTGTACATCCTGGTATGTGAATGTGCCAGTGGTATTCCTGTACCTACATCCTAATAGCTGTATACCTGCAGTGTGAGATCTAAGGCACTGCTGGCCCTGACTGCTAATCTCGAGGTTTGGAGTGAGGTTTGTTGATGTCACTACTGTGCTACTCACTCCTTGCTACAGACTCTCACATGAGGAAGGAAAGCCCTGCCCTGCCGCTACCAGTATGGCCACCTCCATACAGAGACACAGTGCAGATCAAAGCATTGTAGGCCAGTAATATGGAAGTGGTCATCTGCACGGAGACCACAGGCAATACTGGTGACTAGTCCCTTTCCCTCTGCCTGCCATTTTGCGCACAGATTCCAGGGTTTAGTGCCACTTTAAAGCCAACCAAGAACCTATGCCTAGAGCAGCAGGGTAAGTGGACTGCACCAAGCCTTGGGAGGTGCACACCATTATACCTTTCCTTGTATTTTGTATCCCTCTCCTGGATAGCTCTGGACAGATTTGGCTTAAATCAGGAGGAGATCTGTAGCTTTAATAGAAGAAGTGTTAAGAAAGTGCTGGACCAGGGGGTTGAAATTACATAGGGATTGAGAGGGGCAGCCCTCTATAAACTGGGGTATCCTCAAGGGTCACAAGAACAGTAATGTAGAAAGGGTGAGAGTGGTATGAACAAGTATGAGCCTAGTAGGTTTTTATTGTAGATGACAACAGAATAAATCCAGTGTGGTTCAGGGGCTCACACTTCCCCATTTATCAGGGCCAGTATACAGTATTTATTACAGCTGTTTTGGTTTTGTAGTCATGCTGCATAGCTGATGATCCAAAACAACTGTAATTTATTCCGTCCAGTTTTTTTCCTTAATCGATGCCAGCCTTTTAAACCCTGACAAAGGAGGAGGTGTGTGTTCCCGAAATGCGTTCGCTTTATTCTGTTGTCATTTCCTGACACTGCCATCCTTTCTACATTTTTAAAAGAACTTTAGGGAGAAGAGTCCATGGAATGTTGAGAGTAGTCTTTGCATATATATATTATTATTCTATAACAGCACATTCTAGCAGTAGCGTGTTACAAAATAAATGCATTACGCAAGAGGCGGAGCTTGTTCATTGGGTTGTTCTCAGCCAAGTGTGCTAAGGGCCCCAAGACTTTTAAATATGTAACCTATGATGTGGGCATCCATACATAAAATTGGCTGCATTCATGGTATTCAAGGTATTTATTGCCTCTCGTGAAAATCAAAGTACTCCCCTTGACAATGCCTGCCTTAATCTGCTTTTTTCTGCAAAAGGACAGCAATATATCAAGGGCGGACTGACCATTCGAGCACTCGGGCACTGCCCAAGGGCCCAGGGTCAGTAGGGGACCCCATGAAATGCTCCTGGTACCTTTTATAGGTTTTATTGGGTGTGCTTTGAGTGTGGCCAAGGACACAGGGGCCCCATGATCCCCTATTGCCCGGGGGCCCCATGAGCTGTCAGTCCGCCCCTGCAATATATATATATATATATATATATATATATATATATATATATATATATATAATTTTGTTTTATTTTTTATTTTATTTATTTTTAGGCATCATCCAGGGTCAAGATATATTTCCTGGCCTGAGATGCTGATTCAGGCATTGCCCAATCATGTAAATCCCAAACTTTGTGTTCACAAATGTCTGATGCAGATTAGCCACTGTTGCAGCCTCTTATCCTGTGACTTGCAACAAAGTTACCATGTTGCAGCCTGACCACTGGTGGAGAGAAGACTAGGAAATGCTTCCTCCTGTCTACAAATGAGTGATGACATCAGTCACTTAAAGGAGAAGTAAAACCGGAGCTTGTTTGGCTGTACTTCCCCTGTGGATCACAGGAGTGCAGTTCATTCTGCACTCTTTTGACCTGTTTTCAGCCGTCAGCAGGCTAAAGTCCGTTTTTGGCTGACATGACTCAGTTGATCCAGATGGGGAAAGATTCTGACTTTAAAGACCTTGACCAGCACCTGGCTCAGCCTCTCAGCAAGCTACTGGGAGCCTGAGCCAGCCGCTCCCACTCCCTCCGCAGCCTAGTGCTCCAATGAGTGCTAGAGAGGAGGGGGGATAAAGCAGAGAGCAGTGACTGACAGTCACTGCTCTCTTCTCAGAGCGTCAGGGAAAACTGAGTGATTAGCAGTGTCTGATCTCTCAGTTCTTACCCTTAAAGCCAGCTCGATGCTGCATCCACCTAGGTGCAAAAAAAAGGCATACTTCAAGTCACTGACAAAGGTCATTGTGTAGAGTTCAAGCACTGCTATTTAATGATAAATTATTTTTTATAATGCAACTCTTGCTGTATATCACAAGGAATTTATTCATAAAGTTACTGAAAAGTCTACCATAAAATAGAATTCCAGCCAAAGCCTAAATAGTCTTAAAAATGCTCCCTCCCCCCCCCCCCCCCCCCCAACACCTATACTAACTAATATGTGTAAAAAAGATGTATATATTCACTTATTTTCAGCCTGCTCCCATCCAGTCACATGATTTAGCTCCCCTATGTCAGGCAGCGGTGGCTGCAGGGGAGAGAAGGGACCAACGACAATGGCTGCACCATGGGAGACTATGGGTGATGTCGCTCCATTGCCTCTGTTTCCTTGCAGCTGCCACGAGCTGACACAGGGCATTATCTGACCAGACCATAGCAGGCTGAAAATAATTAAAATTTTTTATACAGTTTAGTTAGTATAGGTGTTAGGAGGGGGAAGGGAGAAATGTTACCACTAGTGAGGCTTTAGCTGAAATTCTGCTTTAAAGTGGAACTTCACTCTCTCAGTTAACATTGACTATTTTTAATCCTTCTGCTACTAGCATTAGCAAATGGATAGGAAAATACAGTATATCATATTTACTTGTTTTGAACTATTTTTTTTTGTTTCTTTAATAACTTACTAGTTTCTATACCTACGCATCTTATGTCACACATCCCAGGAGTCTTTAGGAGGGGAGGTGGGTTTTCTCAGCTAAGCACACCCTCCTGCCTGTATGCCTGAGCTAAGGGCAGATGGAGTCCAGGAAGTAAATGCTACATGATTCATCTGCCCTTACTCAAGATGGCCACAGTTAGAAATGCAAGGGGTTGTTTTTCAAAGTGATTTCTCAGTAAAATAAAGCATGGAGACATGGATGGGGGAGAATGCTTTTAATATTAAAAATGAATGAAATAGCATTTTTGTTTTGCGGTGCTCAGATACAGTACAGTTCCCCTTTAACTTGATGGCTATACTGCTTTCCCAGCAGCATACCTGAGGTCTATTAGGCCACAAGACAAGTGCTTATTGCGGATTTGAAGTTTAGAGACTATCATGTTGCACCCCATTACAGTATCCTAAATTTGGAAACCTCTTCCAGGACCCCAAGCTTTGGAAAATAAATCTATAGATATTGTGGAGTAAATCTGTAGCTCTGAAATCCTGGGACAGATTTTAGGCAGAATTCAGCCATGTGTTCAGACAAGAGTGAAGATTTCCAGGAACAGGCATGTTGAACTCAAATGACACAAAGTGCCAAACTGGGAAATATAAATCTGTGTTGTAACCTTCCCGATTCTCTGGCTTTATATCTTTCTGAGTCACTAACTCAGCAAGTATACAGCATTATTTCAGAATTTAAGTCTGACTTCAGATCTATGCCTGGGTTAGTGACTCAAAATATTAAAGCTTATGAAGCAGATTGACACTGGGCAGCTAGCAGAGATAGACAATGGCAGACCATTTTTTTCCTTTAAGGTACAGTAGATGTAAACTCTAACTAGTGGTCCCAAAACCTTTTAAACAAAATGCCAGTTCACTGTCTGTCACACTGTCTGGGGGCTGATATGTGGTCAGTAAAAGAAAAAAAATTGTCCAGCTTCAGAGGTCAGTAGGAGTAAAAATGTTCCAACCATACAAACAAACTGCAACTGTCCCAATCTATAACTGGCCTTTGCAGCAAGGAGCTCATGGAAGCGTGACGCATGTCAAACAACCGCAAAGAAAAATTCCCAGCTCAGTTCACCAATCAGCCTGCAACCAACCAAATTGTCCTAACAGTTCACGTTAAAAGCAGGGGTTTACTTTGCACACATTCACAAATACACCTCTTCAGGATCACCCCAGTATTATCTGCAGTCCTAACTCTATAAATTTTGAGAGCCTCCATAGTAGAAGTAAAGACGTAGGAGTAAAAATGTTACTATGTTGCTGGCCAGTGGGATTCAAAAACACCTCTGCACCTGTAGAAGTAAAAAATTCTGCTGCGTTTGTGGTCACTAGTACTAATAAATGCTCTTGTGTCAGTGGTCAGTAGATGTAAAATATGTCCCATGCGTTAGTGGTCACTAGTAGTAATAAATGTCTCTGTGTCAGTGGTCAGCGGGGTAAATTGTGCCATTGTGTCAGAATGGTGCCCCTGTGTCAGTGGGAGGAATGGTCTCTGTGTCAGTGGTCAGGGGAAGGAATGCTGCCCCTGTGTCAGTGGTTGGAATGGTGCACCTTTGTCAGCAGGAGAAATGGTGCACCTTTGTCAGCAGGAGAAATGGTGCCCCTGTGTCAGTGGTTGGAATGGTGCTCCTTTGTCAGTAGGAGGAATGGCGCATCTGTGTCAGTTGGTGAGGAATGGTGCCCCTGTGTTAGTGGGAGAGAAATGGTGGTGCCCTTGTGTTAGTGGGCAACTAATAGTGGTGCTCCTGTGTTATTTGGTGAAGAATGGTGCTCCTGTGTCAGTAGAGGAATGGTCTCTGTGTCAGTGGTCAGAGGAAGGAATGGTACCATTGTGTCAGTGGTTGGAATGGTGAACCTTTGTCAAAGAAATGGTGCATCTGTGTCAGTGAGTGAGGAATGATGCCCCTGTGTCAGTGGGAGAGACATGGTGGTGTCCCTGTGTCAGTGGGAGGAATAGTGTCCCTGTGTCAGTGGGTGAGGTATGGTTCCCCTGTGTCCATGGGTGAGGAATGGTGCTTCTGTGTCAGGGGTGAGGAATGGTGGTACCCCTTTGTCAGTGGGCAAGGAATGGTGCTCCTGTGTCAAGGAGTGAGGAATGGTGGTGCTCCTGTGTCAGTGAGTGAGGAATGGTGGTGCCCCTGTGTCAGTGGGTGAGGAATAGTGCTCTTTTCTCAGTGAGTGAGGAATGTTGGTGACCTTGTGTCAGTGGGCTAGGAATAATGGTGCCCCTGTATCAGTGGGAGGAATGGTGCCCCAATGTCAGTGGGTGAGGAATGGGGTGCCCCTGTGTCAGTGGGCGAGCAATGTTGGTGCTCCTGTGTCAATGGCAGGAATGGTTCCCCTGTATCAGTGGCTGAGGCATGGCAGTACCCCTTTATCAGTAGGAAGAATGGTGCCTCTTTGTCAGTGGTGAGGACGTGGGAGGAAAGGTGGTGCCCCTGTGTTGGTGGTCAGCAGGGTAAATGGTGCCATTGTATCAGAATGGCGCCTCTGTGTCAGTGGGAGGAATGAGCTCTGTGTCAGTGGTCAGTGGAAGGAATGGTGCCTCTGTTTCAGTTGGTGAGGAATGGTGTCCCAGTGTCGGTGGAAGAGCAAGGGTGGTGCCCTTGTGTCAGTGGGAGGAATAGTGCCCCTGTGTCAGTGGGTGAAGAATGGCGCCCCTGTGTCAGTGGGTGAGGAATAGTGGTGCTCCTATGTCAGTGGATGAGGAATGGTGGTGCCCCTGTGTCTTTGGGCGAGGAATATTGGTACTCCTGTGTAAGTGTCAGGAATGCTTCCCCTGTATCAGTGGGTGAGACATGGCGGTGCCCCTTTGTCAGTGGTTGGAATGGTGTCCCTTTGTCAGTAGGAGGAATGGTGCCCCTGTATCAGTGGGTGAGGAAGTGGGAGGAATGGTGGTGCCCCTGTGTTAGTAGGAGGAGTGATTCCCCTTGTCAGTGGGCGAGGAATGGGGTGCACCTGTGTCTTTGGGTGAGGAATGGGATGCCCCTGTGTCAGTAGCAGGAATGGTGCCCCTGTATCTGTGGGTGAGGCATGGTAGTGCCCCTGTGTCAGTGAAGGAGAAATGGTGCCCTTGTTTGGGTATGCGTAATGGTACCCCTGTGTCAGTGGGAGGAATGGTGGTGCCCCTGTTTTATTAGGAGGTGTGATGCCCCTTGTCAGTGGGCGAGGAATGGGGTGCCCCTGTGTATTTGGGCAAGGAATGGGGTGTCCTTGTATCAGTGGGTGAGGAATGGTGCCCCTTTGCAGTGGATGAGGATTGAGGTCTCCTGTGTCAGTGGTCGAGGAATGGAGTTGTTCTTGTGTCAGTGGGTGAGGAATGATGCCTCTGTGTCAGTGGGTGAGGAATGATAGTATCCCTGTGTCAGTGGAGAAATGGTGCCCTTGTTTGGGTATGCGTAATGGTACCCCCTGTGTCAGTGGGAGGAATGGTGCTGCCCCTGTTTTAGTAAGAGGTGTGATGCCCCTTGTCAGTGGGCGAGGAATGGGGTGACCCTGTGTATTTGGGCAAGGAATGGGGTGTCCCTGTATCAGTGGGTGAGGAATGGTGCCCCTTTGTCAGTGGATGAGGATTGGTCTCCTGTGTCATTGGTCGAGGAATGGAGTTGTTCCTGTGTCAGTGAGTGAGGAATGATGCCTCTGTGTCAGTGGGAGCAATGGTGACCCCATGTCCTTGGGAGAGGAATGGGGTGCACCTGTGTCATTGGGTGAGGAATGGTGGTACCCCAGTGTCAGTGGCAGGAATGGTTCCCCTGTATCAGTGGGCGAGGCATGGTGGTGCCCCTGTGTCAGTGGTTGGAATGGTGTCCCTTTGTCTTTGGGTGAGGAATGGGGTGCACCTGTGACTTTGGGTGAGGAGTGGGGTATCCCTGTGTCTTTGGTCGAGGAATGGGGTACCTCTGTGTCAGTGGAAGGAATGGTGCCCCTGTGTCAGTGGGCGAAGAATGGGGTTTCCCTGTGTCAGTGGGCGAGGAATGGGGTTTCCCTGTGTCAGTGGGCGAGGAATGGGGTTTCCCTGTGTTAGTGGGCAAGGAATGGTTGTGCTCCTGTGTCAGTGGCAGGAATGGTTCCCCTGTATCAGTGGGCGAGACATTGTGGTTCCCCTGTGTCAGTGGTTGGAATGGTGTCCCTTTGTCAGTAGGAGGAATGGTGCCCCTGTGTCAGTGAGTGAGAAATGGTGCTCTTCGTTCGGTATGAGTAATGGTGCCCCTGTGTCAGTGGGAGTAATGATGCCCTTATGTCAGTTTGAGGAATGTGTCCCTGAGTCAGTGTGAGTAATGGTGCCTCCGTCTGGGCGATCATTTAGAAATGGTGCCCCAATATTGGTGTTCAGTGGTCACATATCTCGCAGGCTCTATGTTCCATTCCACTCCTTGTATGCTTACAGCATCTCCCCCACGGCTGCTTGCACTGGGAAAGCCCTTCATTCAATGCCTTCTCAATGCAGAGGCCTATCTACAGCAACCAGCGGACTGTAGTTTGGGGACTGCTGTCCCAGCTGAATGACATTTAGTTTGCTGATGCACTGTGTATCATAAACTGATATGTTTAAAAATAAATTACTGTTGGAAAAAAAAAACATCCATTACAAATGATGCAATTTCACCTAACATCCATGCTTCCTTTGAACCAAACAAAAAGCCTGAACACCTGTACAATGTATTTACTGATGGGGATTTATTCTGGCTGCAGTAAACATCAAAGCCCAGCATTTGTGGGATAAACAAGCCCGTACTTGTATGCCATACTGAGATACTGCAGTCAGGAAAATTCAGCACATGGTCATAATCTTCCACCAGCACATCGAGTACCCTGCATTTGTGTACATTCAGTGACATCCATATTCATAAGTGGCATAAGGGGCATTTAGGCAGATTAAGAAAATAATTATTTGCTGGTGAGTAGTTAGAAGAGGAAGGCAGAAGCCTGGAGGTTAGCTTTGGACAATGTTGACAAAGATGTAAAATGTGATCTGCTTTATTTGGGGAAAAAAAAATGATTATGTGTAGTCAGTCTGGCCATGTATGTATCCCTGCCCTACTACATAGTCAGGAAGACTGTGAAGGAACCACAATTTTCTACTACAACTCTACAATTTCCTGCATGCTAAGGTGGACAGTGAAAGGCCATCATTACGTTACATCATTATCTCCATGCAGTAGTGTATTTTGGTTTTGTGTTTCCCTAGGCAAATCTGCCCCCCCCATCCTAATTTGTCTCACCCCTTTCTGTTTAATATTCATCCCTTCAGAACAGAAGGGAGGGGAGCGTGACAGGAGGTGGGGCAGCAGGACAGGTGAAGGGCAGTGGGATAAGGAGGGGCACAGCGTGAAGGGTGGGGCAGCATGATAAGTGTTTGTGCGGGGGGGGGGGGGGGGGGGGGGCAATGGGACACGGAGGCAGTGCGAGAGGATGGGGCAGCGTGATGGCGGGGGGCAGCATGACAGGAGTGGGGAAGCATCAGTGCTCCAAGCTCTTCCCTGTCCAGCAACAGCTTCTCCAGATGGTGTCAGGATCTGGTGCCAGAAGAGGTAGCTGAGCCTGTGTCCCATCTCCACCAGGATCTGTGGCGGCAGCTGCAAAAAAGAGCAAGGGGTCCCCTCCACCCTTACCTCGTCCGCCTCTTCCTCCTCCTCCACAGGCCCTCTGCTGGCACCCCCTGGCCTTATCCACCCTGCACAGCCAGATGCACACTGCAGATCCTGGCCGGGGCCTGCCTGACAGCGGGCACCGGCCCCCAACTGCTTCCTGAGCACACCGGGGATCTGCCCACCACTCAGCCCTTCTCTTCTGCCAATCCCCCTACTTGTGTGTCAGCTGTCTCCCCCCTCCCAATGGAGGCCCTGCCACTCACACCCACGTGTGTCCCTTCTGCTTGGGGGGGGTGGCCCCACCCTCACAGTAGATATGCCCCTGCCTCCATGTGCTCCCATCCTCCTGCATGTTGAATATCTGTTGAAAGGTGTGTTTGGCTACCATTTAAAATGAATGGCAAAGCATCATGCCAATGTATTACACATGTGTTGTGTAAAACACACAATGCCATATAATGAATGGGCTTAAAGGGTAACTCCACTCCAATTTGGCAAATTAAAAAAAAAGTTAATATAGCGTATACAATTGCGACACAAGACATATTGTAATTGAATGTTATTAAAAATTACCTTTCCCTTTAAATCTTCCTGGCTGTAATTTTCGACCCACAGGAGAAGTAGGTCCAAAAGAGCTTTGGCCATACTTTTACTTTAGGAACAGTTCTTTTTTCCATTGTTTGTTGAAGCTACAAAAATATATTGTTTCTCAAATGGTCAAGAAGGATTTCACTGTTTAGAGTGCAACATTATTACCACAGTACGAACAAGCCAGAACAGATTGTTCGTAAATAATGCACAACCAGCATTGTCTGTATTCTCTTGTGTCAGCTTGTCACTGTTGAACAGATGTGGGTATAATACATGTACATCAGATTTTGGGAGAGAAACACCAACATTTTGTTGGCATCTCCAAGCCAGCATATTGGTTTATTAGACCCTTAGGGGTTTATTTACTAAAGCTGGAGAGTCCAAAATCAGACTCCCTTCTGCATAGAAACCAATCAGCTTCTAACCTCAGCTTGTTCAATGAAGCTTTGGCAATGAAACCTGGAAGCTGATTGGTTTCTATGCAGAAGTGAGTCTGATTTTGCACTCTCCAGCTTTAGTAAATAAACCCCATAATGTCTCCCTGCCTTCAACTGAAGATCATCTTGCATTAGTTTCTTCCCCAGAAGTATTGTAATACAAATGGACATTTGCTGGTCTTCCTCCATTCCACCCACCGACACCTGTCATGGCGATCCCAGGTCTGCAGGTGAGACCGCATAGCATGGGAAACATAGTGGCTCATTCCCTAAAGCAGGCCCTGGAAGTTAAAACTGATCTGAAAGCCCAATGCCTGCTCTATAAATTGAAAAAAAAAACCTCTTGACTGCTATAGTACTGTGTTTAAAATCCCTATCTACTCTTTACCATTTATAAACAGTCCTGATAGACAAGTGGTTAACTGCAGCAGAGAAAAATCAGCTCTTCTGTCCTGCCTGACAGGTACAGGTATATAAATTTCAGAAACAGATGGTTAGGAATACAATTATTTGTCAAGTGAAACAGTATTTCATCTGTGAATTCAGCTGGAATTCAGCTTTAACACTTCCTTTTTGCCCCTAAGAAATCGTATAATTGCCACTTCATAAGTCTGGTCCTGGTCATTGGAGCAGAGGATTATGCTTTCTGGTGTACCGGTCTTAAAATTGACTTTATCTTCTATTTTACAGAGTAATCTGCACTTACTTGGGACCCAGCAGCCTGATGGACCCTGTCACGTGAAGTATAAGCTAAGAGAATAAATATGGAGCCTTCAGAAATGTGAGTATTTATTGTTTCTCTATGATGTGACCATTAAATCACCTCACAGTATTAAAAAGCCCAGCCTATGGAAAACTTTTTGCAGCTAACTTCATAGTAATGTAATGAATCTTTTCTATTCCATACATGAAGAAACACGGCCATTTTTTGATTACCCAAACTGATATATAAGAAGTCTGGGGGCATTCTATACCTGGTTTGTGTATGGCCTGTACATTTAATGTATCTAGTACACCTTTACCCAGCTCCATGTTTTATCTCAGTATAAGTTTTCTTTAAAAAGTGGCAAAAGATTAGATATTCTTAGTGTCTGATTTTCACAGAGTCATTTTAGGGTTTTTTTTTACTGTCCTGGCATTTGTTTGATATGTTAAAACAGAAAGTAGACATAGCATTTGATGTTTTTCATTTATCTAATAAAAATTAAAAGAAAAAAATAATTACCACCAAAAGAAAGCTCTATGTGTCTCAAAATAAATGATGAAAAAAAGTTGGATACAGTGTTGCATGAAGAGGTAATTGTCAGCCAAACTATCACAAAATATGCCCTGGTATTGAAGGGGTATTACAGGGCATGACAAAGCACAGTTACAGTCAATTAATATGAAATAAAGTCCAGGTTTTGAATATAAATGTACAGTGCAGCACTTCCCTAAACAAATTTACCAACTCAAAATGCAAAATATATAGTAAACATATAGCAACTAAAGTGAACATGCATAAAAAAAGTCTCTCAAAGTTAGGTGTCCGTTTATGACACACAGAATAGCTGAGATTCAGAGGATCACAGCTATTCTCTGGTCATTCACAGTTTATGACACCCAGGAGAACATGTTCAGCCCTTCTCTGGAGATCTGTGTTCTCCCTCCAGATTCTCCAGCCCAGAGCTGGAGAATCGGAGGGACCGCAAACTAAGCAGAGATAATTTACCTCTGTTTAGTAAACTGATCTTTTACTGTAATCTCGCGAGATTATAGTAAAATCAGCCGTTTTCCAGCGTTTGTAGACCGTTCTCCAGCGTTTGGAGACCGTTCTCCCTTCGTTTGGAGAACTGATCTACATATGCTTCATAAACGGCATTCACAGGAGAACTGTGTTCTCCGAGAATGCCGGAGAACTGAGCAGCGATCTATTACTGCTGGTTCATAAAACGCACCTTAATTTCTTCAGCTTGAATAAGTGATTTCTCCAACTTGAATAAACATAAAACGTCTGTCTTCATACAAATTAAATCCTCCACCAAACAACCACCAGATGTGCCCTCACCTGCAACATTTGACCTTACATGATGTCAGGTCAAAAAACACATGTGTCCCAAGAAGCGGACATGTACTGGTATATGTATCCAGAGTGCATGTTCTTCTTCCAGAGATCACCAGTCTCTAACTCTCTCCTCCTTCACTCCACATACAGTTGTGTTCAAAATAATAGCAGTCAGACATCACTAACCTGATCAATCACTGTTTTTGGTAGAAATGATATTTCTACATGGCAAATAATTTACTAGCAGGTGTAGTAGAGTAATAGAAATCCAGCAGACCCAACAGTCATGACATGCATGCTGCTGATTCTGTGTAATTGAATCACTAATTGAAAGGGGCATGTTCAAAATAATAGCAGTGTGGAGTTCTACTAGTGAGGTCATTCATTCTTTGAAAAACAGGTGGCAATTATTGCCTTTATTTAAGGAAGGAAGGCAGCAAATGTTGTACATGCTGGTTACAGTGCATTTCTCTCTGAAATTCTGAGGAAAATGGGTCGTTCCAGACATTGTTCAGAAGAACAGCGTACCTTGATTAAAAAGTTGATTGGAGAGGGGAAAAACATATAAAGAAGTGCAGAAAATGATAGGCTGCTCAGCTAATATGATCACAAATGCTTTAAAATGGCAACCAAAACCTGAAAATTGTGGCGGGAAAGCGAAAAACTACCATTCGAATGGATAGAAGAATAGACAAAATGGCAAGGACTCAGCCAACAATCAGCTCCAGGAAGATCAAAGAAGGTGTAAAGTTACCTGTGAGTACTGTTACAATTAGAAGACGCCTATGTGAAGCCAAGCTACCTGCAAGAAGCCCCCGCAAAGTCCCACTGTTGAAAAAAAGACATGTGCTGAAGAGGTTACAATTTGCCAAAGAGCACATTGACTGGCCTAAAGAGAAATGGCGCAACATTTTGTAGGACTGATGAAAGTAAGATTGTTCTTTTTTGGGTCTAGTGGCCGGAGACAGTTTGTCAGACGACCCCCAAACACTGAATTCAAGCCACAGTACACTGTGAAGACAGTGAAGCATGGTGGTGCAAGCATCATGATATGGGGATGGATTTTCTCATACTACGGTGTTGGGCCTATTTATCGCATACCAGGGATTATGGATCAGTTTGAATACATCAGAATACTTGAAGAGGTCATGCTGCCTTATGCTGAAGAGGAAATGCCCTTGAAATGGGTGTTCCAACAAGACAACGACCCCAAACACACCAATAAACGGGCAACATCTTGGTTCCAGACCAACAAGATTGACATTATGGAGTGGCCAGCCCAATCCCCGGATCTTAATCCATTAGAAAACTTGTGGGGTGACATCAAAAATGCAGTTTCTGAGGCAAAACCAAGAAATAGAGAAGAACTGTGGAATGTAGTCCAATCATCCTGGGCTGGAATACCTGTTCACAGGAGCCAGAAGTTGGTTGACTCCATGCAACACAGATGTACAGCAGTTCTCAGAAACAGTGCTTATATATTCAAGAGGTTATAGGGTTTCCTTGTAGTGTATTAGCTGCTTATGTTTTCATCATCTTAGCGCTCGCTGAATCACCTTGATATACTGCTATTTTTTTAACAGTCTAATATTCACTTTTCTTCAATTTTTTTTCTTCAATTTTTTAGAGGAACAACACAAATTTGATATATATTTTTTCTTCATGTTTGGATTTGGAATAGAATGTGTAGTGTTCCCAATGCATTTGTGTGTATGGAAATAAAAGCTATTAGAAGGATTTTGAGCTTTATTCACTTTTTTCAACACACTGCTATTATTTTGAACACAACTGTATATGATAAGAAAGATAGGGAACACAATAGTGCTGTATCCTTAAAAAATATTCTATTTTATTTAAAACGTTAAACAGTGGCCACTCACGTTCTTTTTTAAACAGTGGCCACTCACATCAGATATAATGCGCATATAAAAACAACATTGTAACCACAGGCATAAACAAAAACTCTTCAACTCATCTGCTGTAATAATGAATCGATAAGGATTGCAAGTGTTGTGCTGTCATCTAGCCCCTCCCCTACGTGTTACGCCACAGGGTCACGTGGCCTCCTCAGGGGGATATGATCCATCTGCTGGGCTTGATATCTGCTTTGTCTGACAAATCCTTTAGGTGGCCAAATTTTCCAGTAAGAGGCCAAATGATTGGGTGAAAGGTGACGGATTCTCTCTCTCCTTCTGGTTTTTGGTTCACTTAGCACCATTACCACTGGATCATGTGGCTCTGTACTTCTGTTTTTGGTTCACTTAACACCATTACCAGTGGATCATGTGGACATTTATATAGACTTTATTTAATGTGTTATACTGATTTACAATTATCTTACTTTTGTGAGGATTTGGACACTATTATTCTCTATTGTTAACTATTACTACTATGCTGCAATAAGTGTTTTTAGTTTGTTTATTTTCACCTATTTATTGTGTTAGCTGCTATTTTTATTTGTAAATTCCCAAGAGCAGGTTTGCTATATAATTATGTTATGTTATTGTGAAGAAAGCTGCTGAAATCTCTTGTGGGTGACCTGAAATTTTTCAGCACATTTTTCATACATCAGACCCTTACAAGCAGTTGCTAGCCACCAATTTATGTCTGCACCTAAAAAGGAAAGTGGAACTCCAGGCAAGCAGCTGAATATTAATTGAAATACATATAGTATGTGAACTGTTTTCCTTGTGAAAGGATTTGTAATTCAGTTCAGCCAGTTTCTGAATTCCCACTTTTCATAGCAAGAAAAGTGACAGGCCTTCTGGACTCATGACTTTGCCGCCAACCTGGTTGTTAGACAATCAACCGGCATCATCATCATCATCTCTATCTAATGACAGCCATACGTATGGCGATTTGTGATTACACTAGGTACAAGTGATGATGAATCATATTTTTGAAAAGTTGGGAACAAAACTGTGTACAAAGCATTGTTCGATATTTTATTCATTAGTTATAGATGTAAACTCATGTGCATAAATGTGTTCATTTGTTCAGTCAAAATTATTCAAGTACATATTAATATATATATATATATATATATATATATATATATAAGGTGCAGCGCTATAATAGCATAAATGGCATACATATTATAAATAAAGTGCAAATATCAAATCACACTGCGGTGAGATTGAGTGAAATGAAAAGTCCAAAAATAAGGTCAAACGTGGGGATCCAATAGATCCTAGTAGGTGCGTGGGATAAAATTCAGTGTATCACACGGCGAATCTGGGGTAAAAATTTCGCACTCACCAGAAGTGCGTCAAAAAAAAACGCATGTAAGATTTATCCTGTAGTATCGGATAGCGGTCATCAATTGCCAAGATAGGGACAGGGATAGCGGTCATCAATTGCCAAGATAGGGACAGGGTCATACACCTTCCAATCGCAACTTGGGTTAAATACTTAAAATTTCATATACGTGTCTCAGGCGTGTCACCATCCGGGGTCCCCTTTTAGAGTAGATTCTGCAAGTGGGGACTCTAATTGAAGAGAGCCCAATAAGGGACACCACATAGCGTGATACCGTATACACTGAGTTTATTGAAGGTACAACATGAATTGTAGAGGTAAAATGAAAATAAACACTGACCAGATAATAATCAGGATGGCCACCTGCGGTGGTCAGATGTCCAGATACTGTAGGGGGGCAAATTGATTAGATTAGTTTCAACAAATTGAATGATCTATCACAAGGAAGTGTTGCTGTGCA